GGGGGGGGGGGGGGGCATAATTGTGAGGGGGGGGGCAAAGCACAGCTGCTGAGGGTGTTTGATTTGTGAATCAGTAATGTCTGTTCAGGGCACAGATGCACAGCTGGCGAGTTAATCGGTGTCAGTATGCGGAGAGGCCCAGGGTCAATGGAGGCCTTTTCCTCCTTCCCCAATGCAGATGTGTAACCAGGAACAACCGCGTGAGGATCTGCTTTTCTAAAGCGGACGCAACTCCTGTTATGTTGAATTCTGGAAAGGGGATAGTGAAGGGACCAGTGGGCTGCCGGATTCATAAATGGTGCTTGGCGTTTCTCCCCAGTGAGGTACTACTCTGCTCTGTCATTTTCTATTTTTGTGTGTTGCCGGCGAAACTCTTTCAGATCTCTCTCTTCCGAATAACTTGAAAGAATGATGTCATTGTCCCGCTGTTCCGTTTAGTCCTCGATAACAGAAGGCTGTAGTCATTCTTGGAGGCTGTGCTTTTTTTTTTATTTTTTATTTTATTTTATTTTTTTTAATCTCTTCGCCTCCACAGTGCAGCCTTGAGCTGAACCGTCCCCTTTTTAATTGCAGGTGTTTGTGCCAGTTCGTCTCTTACAGCAGCATCTCTCTGATACAGTGCTCACTCGGCCTGAACCGTCCTCTTTTTATTTGCAGGTATTTGTGGCGGTTCGTCTCATACAGCAGCATCTCTCTGATGCAGTGCTCACTCGGCCTGAACCATCCCTTTTTTATTTGCAGGTATTTGTGCCGGTTCTTCTCTTACAGCAGCATCTCTCTAATGCAGTGGTCACTCAGCCTGAACCGTCCCCTTTTTATTTGCAGGTATTTGTGGCGGTTCGTCTCATACAGCAGCATCTCTCTGATGCAGTGCTCACTCGGCCTGAACCATCCCTTTTTTATTTGCAGGTATTTGTGCCGGTTCATCTCTTACAGCAGCATCTCTCTAATGCAGTGGTCACTCAGCCTGAACCGTCCCCTTTTTATTTGCAGGTATTTGTGGCGGTTCGTCTCTTACAGCAGCATCTCTCTGATGCAGTGCTCACTCGGCCTGAACCATCCCTTTTTTATTTGCAGGTATTTGTGCCGGTTCGTCTCTTACAGCAGCATCTCTCTAATGCAGTGGTCACTCAGCCTGAACCGTCCCCTTTTTATTTGCAGGTGTTTGTGGCGGTTTGTCTCTTACAGTAGCATCTCTCTGATGCATTGCTCCCTTGGCCTGAACCGTTCCTTACTCCTTAATGAGCCATTTTCCTTTCCTGACAAGGACTATGTTGACTAATTTCTGTCATCACTTTATCCTTTTAGAATATCTGTCTTGACTAAATTGTTAAATTTTTTAGGTCACTAGTCTGAACATGTTATTGTAGGTGCTGGAATCAGTCATCTATTTACAGTGGGCCTTTTTGTGGTTTTTATGTGATGTGCAGGTCAATGTGCATCACGTTGCCATTTTGGTTGCTTTGTAATGGTGCTTTCTTCTGTTCATAAATCCCATTCACCCACACAGGGCTTTATTTTACATTTCATTCAAAAATTTAGACCGACAGTATGTGCAAAGTTAATAATCAAGTGATTTATCTGCAAGATAAAGCCTATTTTACTTATTATCGTATGTCCTTTTTTTGGCATGGATTGTTGCTTTTGTTATTATTAACAATGAGAGGATATGAAAACACCATGCAGACTGTTTGGGGGAGGGAAAAAATGCCTCAAAATAGACATTTGAAGGCAATTAACAGAAGTGTGTGGATTCGGGGTGCCAGATGGTGTCTTCTGAATATAGGATTCACAGCCCAACAGGACTGAAGACTCGACGCCAGTGTTCCCTCCCCAGTGCTTTTTGTGGATTTTGTGTTTTTTTTCTTTTTTTTTTTTCTTTTTTAAAGGAGTAAGGTATTCCCCAAATAAATTTCCGTCCTTATGGAAATCAACAATTAAGTATTAATTAAGTATTTAGTAAATGTTTTTCCCCAACAAACTTTGAAAGGTGAAAATATTTGTGAGGAAACCGAAAATCTCTTGAAACAAATGGAAAATGGCTCACGCTTTTGTTTTGAGATCGGTCAGCTATGTTAGCTTTGATGCTGTTTAACTACATCACATCACATGGCCTTCTCCTCACATGCCACTCACCAGCCTCAGTCATAATGCATCAGCAAGTGACCCATCTGAAATCATACAAATCCGCTGCTATGTCTATTACCAGTACAATATTCTGTTTTCAGCATATTCTATTTATGTACTGCATACTTTTTCAATTTGTTTGCTCCACGTTCACTTGTTTGTATTGTTCACTATATGTATTGTTTTGGCACTGTCTGTTTGGCACTGTATGTATGTTTGTCTTTGCACTATGTTCAGGCTGCTGTATGTGCCAACATTTCCACCTGGTATCAATCAAAATCTTAAATCCAGTGTTACCCTTTTCGTAGCCCGAGCTGAACTGTTCTTATTTTGTCTACAGTGAACCCCCAAATCCGAGGTCAGTTTCCTTGACCTCTGTGGCTCTTGTTTATCTGTCTGCATACTTTGTTGTCTTTTAAGGCATTTTTAGGCAGAGTGGTGGCTCTGAGGCTAGGGATCTGTGCCAGTAACTGGAACGTTGCTGGTTCAAATCCCGTGAAATCCAGGAGTGATCCTACTCGGTTGGGCCCTACAGCAAGACCCTTAACCTGCAAGGAGGTCCTCCAGCTTACAGGGAAATTTGGGGGTTGGTGGCAGGATTGGGACTCGAGCCACCGGGGGAAAAAAGTTCCCAATGGTCCATTCAGACTAGCGTGGTGCTGAGGTATCACTTGCCACACGGTTACACTCGGGTTCTCGTCCCTGAGTTGGTATGTTGTGTGGTGGGTGCAGCAATGTGCTGTCAGCTTATGCTCTTTAGTTTGCTCCTTTTAAGATATGCTTGCATTGCAGTCGTTCTGCGGTGATATTTAAGTTCTGCTTTACAATACTTACAAGCGACTGCATTTTCAGTCACTTTTTAATGTGAATGAAATTATTTGGACCCTCAAACACTATGCACGTCATCCTTCTGCCACATTGCCAAGTAATCGAGAAGGAAAATTTTAATCGATTGCATCTTATAATTGAGTAATCGTGTTTAATTCAGTAATTGCAACAGCTCTAATCTAAACAATTAATTTTTCTCCAGAGAATCAAACTGACCATCTCATTTAAATTAATTTTATTTAGACAATACATGCTGTATGTCATTGTAGGGCTTCAGATAACGGACACCAGATTTTCGCCACTATACGACATTTATGCCAGCAATTTGATAAGCCTAAAATATTAATGAGCGATATATTGTGATGCCCAAGAGTTAGCAATCTGTATAAATTCAAGCGTGTGCTTATGTTTAATAAATCCAGTTCGCAGAGCATCCACATGCTATTGTTCTGTTATACCATGGATGCAATAAGCACTAGTCCGAACAAGCCCAACGCACATGAACACACACCAGCACCATCAATAAACATAGAATAAGTCAAGGTTCTGCCTAAATGTTTTGTTAAACACTTATTCAGTAGAGATTCTAAGGTGGCAGGCAGACAATTTTATGACTTTAATGATGGGTGTGTCTAGCAGCTATGGACAAAGGATATTTAAAAATCACACCATACTAATGGCAATTTAATAAACATGAATACACAACATTTAAGGTAGCTTTGCGTTTTTTTTCAGTCCATCATCCAGAATAGTGCCTGTGCGTTTCCTCCTCTGGTGCCTCCTCGTGTGTAGCACTAGTGCCCCTGTAGTATGCCATCGCACTTTGCACGGCGTACAAACCACCTTTTTTGTGATACTTTGAATTGCATAGTTATGTAGTTATATTGAAGGAAAATGGGAAGGGGGGTGTTTGTTGTGGTGACTTGGAATGGAAGGGGGTTGGTGGGTGAAGCATACCTGTCTTTAAGGAGTTCAGGTGGCTGTGGGGGGGTGATGAATAGGCCGCTGCGACGGAGCGCCCCCCTGCACACCCGCACGCAGCTGAGCCCCATTTTAACTTTCCGCCGTTTCACGCTTATATATTTATATGTATGTATACCCCCCCCCCCCCCCCAGCTTGCTGACTATCCTTCTCCTCCATTTGCTTTTCTTTGTCATACACAATGCGAGTCACCAGACCATCGCACACACACAGACAGTAAACACAAAGAAATTGAGAATAAAAGAGAATAATACTGCATGACAGGAGGCCGTAGTTTACTCGCCGATGTGACATTTGGCGCCGCGTTTCAGAGCCGGCCAGGCAGGGCAGCTCTCCTCTCTCCTTATCTCCTCTTTCTCCTCTCCCCCTTCCTTTGTGTGGTTCTGTCTTGCCGCCGTTAAATGCCACGAAATATCCCACCTTTACGTGCCGCTCTTTGTCCCGGCAGCGCCGGCTTCGTCCTGAGAAAGCAGCACAAGATGAACATGGTGAAGAGGATCATGGGCCGGCCGCGCCAGGAGGAGTGCAGCCCGCAGGACAACGCACTGGGCCTCATGCACCTGCGGCGCCTCTTCTCCGAGCTCAGCCACCCGCCGCGTCACATGACCCAGAAGGAACAGGAGGAGAAGCTGTATATGATGCTGCCCGTCTTCAACCGGGTGAGGAACAATGATCTCTGCTGAACAGGGGGGTCAGGCCGCAAGCTGAGGCAGGTAGCAGTTTACATGGGGGTTAAGGGCACAGGATCGCTGCTTCAAGCCAGGTGATTCAATCCTAGCTGTTGTACCACTGCGGAGGAACTTGAGCAGAATCTTTATTTTCTCATTTTCCCCACTTCTTACATTGTAAAAGGTACTGACCTTGGATTTACTGCTATAAATATGAATATTACGCCCCATCCTGGGTTATGCCCATAGCTTCTGGGATAGACTCCAGACCCCCCACAATACTGAATAGGACAAATGGATGGATCGATGGATGCATGGTCATCTTGCGTATAAACAGCTGGTTCTTTGATTATCCATCCATTGGAAACTGTGAGAAGCTTTGCATTCTGGTTCTCTGCTCACCTCTCGGCCGCGTGATGCCCCTGCGCTAAAACCAGGGCTCCCAGCTGCCTTCCCTTCATTAATGTGGCAGTTGTAGAGGGATTATCTGTGTTCCAGTATACAGTGATCCTGCTTAGCATCAGCTAATGAGAACAAGTGTCTTCGTTTTTTTGTTCCCCTGGTTAATGATTTTTGGTATTCTACATTTATGTGGCACATTTCAGCTTATTGTTTGCCCAGTGGACTGTAGAGATTTCCACTCACCTGAACGGTGCACTTCAGTCACTCCAGTGGTGCACTTCACGACGCGTTCATTAATCACTCGGTACCGTTAATGATTTAAGCGCCCGTACAGAAACAGGTCCTTTTCGCTGTGAAGTGCACTGCAACACCCACCCTACTTTTGAAAGGCTCCACTTCAAAACCTGTCACAGACGAGCAGCGGTTGTAGCCTCTATTGTGGGCGGGTGGGAGAGAGAGAGAGAGAGAGAGGAGTGTTTTCTGCTAATGCTACATTGCAAACATACAATCAGCTGACAAACTAGTTAAAGATTGTGAGCAAAGGTTAGGTCAGTTTTAATTCAGGTCTGATGTACACTAGATTTTATTGATGCATATGAGTAGTACTGGTCAATTAATCTCATTTTAATTTCAGTTATGATTTTGGCTACTAGCAATTATCAAAACAAAATAACTATTATTCTGCCACATTTTGTTTCACAGTGATGCTCCCGTTTTGTCTTCTGTTATGAATCCAGTGCACCTCTTGTCAGCCTTTTTATTTGCTACTCATTTGAATTATATTAGAGTTCAAGGAAATCCACTGTGCAAAAGACAAATTATATATATAAGTTCGATAAATGCAAGATATTTCCAAAGTCAATGAGTAATCGTGTTAAATAATCTGGATCTCAATTTTGACCAAAATAATCATGATTATGATTAACTGAGCAGCCCTGCTCTGGAATAACTTTCTGTCTGGAAGGGCAGTAAAAATGACCACAGCTCTGTTAAGCTGGTTATTTGTCTAAAGGCTGTAATCATAGTGATCGGTGCCTTAGTCTGCTCTCTGACCCTGTGTCCCCCGGCTGTGTGTGACGCAGGTTTTTGGGAGTGCCCCTCCCAGCACGATGACGGAGAAGTTTTCTGACCTGCTGCAGTTCACCACCCAGGTCTCCCGGCTGATGGTGACGGAGATCCGGCGACGAGCGTCCAACAAATCGACAGGTTTGAGGAGCTGAAACCTTTATTTCCTACCTTAAACCCGGGCTCATCTCAGACAGCATTTAGTATCAGCTCTCCTGAGCCTTTGAGTGAAAATAAAGGCCTTTAAGTATAAGGATCTAATAGATCTCATCTTTGCACCTTTGTATGCAAGATGCTTGTTTATAGTTGTAGAGCACATCTTATTGAAAGTGAGTCTGGCAATAAACTGGGTTCCCTCCAATAATTCATCTAAAATAAGCTGAGACATGAGTTATCAAAGCCAACATGCAACTGCAAAGTCAGCTGTAGAAATAATGACAGGGTGATGTTCATTTTCACACTGTATACGTTATCAGATGCATGGCAAATTTAAAGGGGAGCCGTCTATCAATTTTAGAGTCTTTTGTGCTGCAGATGTTGGTTAGTCTTGTTACATGGGCAGTTTTGGATCTTTGAATTTAATCATCTAAAGGGTTAAACAGAAACCACTGTATCCCTGTACCAGCCCCCTGCACCCCCAGCCCAAAGGGTTTGTCTAAGTGTCTGTCCTCCGGAACCAGCTGGTGGAGGCTTGTCCCAATGGGCTGAAAACAACTTCCCATCGTCCTCTACTTTCCCCAGTATCGGGCTCCTGTCTGTGGGGCAAAATATTCGCGTCAGAGGTGCTCACCAGCTGCGCGTGTTTCCGCAGGACCCATCTGTTCCAGGAATAGCCTGCGTTCCCCTCGTACTCCCCAAATGCTCTTAATGTTGCACTTTCTGCTGCTCTGAATTATTGTCTGATTAGCTTCTCGCTTGCTTGGAAGTTGTTGTGTAGCTCCTTCTCCAGTCCTGCTTACACCTGTACCTGGCTGCTCACTGGAAGCTCAGCCTAGCTGCACTTATGTCTAGTTGACTCCATCACAGCCATATGTCTGTAATGTGCTATTTGCCTCACCTGTACATCGCTTTGGATAAAAGTGGCTGCTAAATAAAGTAATTGTAAGTGTGTTTGCAGCTCTCCTTATTGTGTTTCCTTTGTTGTGTTCCGGGTTAAAGATGGACAGGGGCCTGTGCTCCTAAAGAAAAGGCACCACTGTACCTCTCTGTCCCTGCAGAGGCAGCCAGTCGAGCTATCGTGCAGTTTCTGGAGGTGAACCAGAGCGAGGAGGCGAGCCGTGGCTGGATGCTACTGACCACCATCAACCTGCTGGCCTCGTCTGGACAGGTGTGGTTATGAGGAGGGTGGGCGGGGCCACAGGTGGGGTGGGTGGGGTCACAGGTGGGTGGGCGGAGCCATGGGCATTCAAGGCTCCATCTCTCTTTGCCGTTGATCTAATGGCAGTGCTGATCCAGATTGCATCCTCTCCTGGTGATCAGTATGCCGAATTCCCTGGCAGACCATCTCGTGCTGGTATTCCCAGCAGTCTCCTGTGATATGAAATAAATCTCAGGAATGCTTCTGAAACTCTTTTTCTTTGAAGTCGCGCTAAATCAAATTGTTGTTCAGAGTAGAAAAAAGTCTTTCAGATCCCATTCCCCCTTTCATGATCCGCAGCCTCCTCGGATTTTACGGCAGTTTATTTGCTTGCCATTCAGGGAGAGGCTTATATATCTGCAGCGGAGCCCGTAGCTGCCGGGGCACCTCGATGGGCAGGTATGCGCTCTGCTGTCGTGCTGCATCCTTGTTTACTGGATACTAAAGGACGCCCAGCACTTCTCAGACAGGGCTGACGCGTGCTGAGCTGCTCTCTGTTACCTTGGCGACTCAACAATACTGACGTTACTCTAATAGCTTTTGTGAGTTATTTTTTTAAATACAGCCAAATTCAAAAGAACACTTTTGAACTCATCTGTGTAATACAATGTTTATATTATGGAAGAGTATTAGGTCCACTTATAAGAAATGTAACAATTTTGTTTGAAGATTGAATCCAAAATTTCTTTCTTAATCTTATCATTTTGAATTGGGATGAAGTTAATGTTGTAAATTCAGTGTCAGGAATCGAACTGAAATCTACACTTGCAGTGCTGAGAAAGAAATTGAATGGAATAAAATTGTATCTCGAGGAAAAAAAGAAAAACAAAATGTCAAGCTTAATGGCAAAATTTTGTGTTAACTCGAAATAGTTATTGTTTTTCTTCTTGGTGACCCTCATGCTCTTCCACAGTGTATTATCCCACTGTTCTCATGGTTTGTTATTGTGAGAGCTTTTCTAGCGAGTGTCACGGGTGCCATTTCTCATTTTATTTCTCATCCAAAAAAATAGCCATAAATGTGTTTTTGGCCTCAGTCATTCTCGTTGACTAGGCTAAAACGCTTGCTTAAAGTTGTTCTTGGAAAAATCAGTTAAAAAATAAATCACGTTTTTTTTTTTTTTTTTGGAGGAGTTTGTCAGTATTTTCTGTGCATTTCAGACTTTCGCAGCAGCAATGTTGCATTACTGCTGAATAATACACTATGTATCGCCGTGTTTGTTTTTGCATTAGCAGATGGAGGATCTGTGTCGACTGTCGCTCGCTCTCAGATTGTCTTTCATGTGAAATTGAGCCTGAACTCTTTACTGGAACAGATGTTATCACCAGTCTTTGTAGATAATTTCTGTCACTTACTCACCTGATGCTACATTGTTTTATGTCTCTTTTTTTATTAGCCTTAGGAGATTTTGCATCAATATCAGTCATACTCGTGGTTTTCTTCTGAGAAGCTTATTTGGGTTGCCGTAATGTGCATCGAGATTTGTGGATTTCCTGATATGACCCTGAGCATAACTGGGATCTGCTGCTTGTCATATGTGTTGCATTCATCTGAAGTTTCTGAGGAAGAGCTTCTCCTCTGTTTTAGAAAACGGTGGACTGCATGACGACCATGTCGGTACCCTCCACGCTTGTGAAGTGTCTGTATCTGTTCTTCGACCTGCCGCATTCACCCGAGACCCCGGGCGCGGCTCAGACGGAACTGCCACTGGCCGACCGCCGCGCTCTGCTGCAGAAGGTCTTCGTGCAGGTGAGGCGCCTCCCCTACCTTAAAGCTCACCAATCAATAGCGACTGTTGAGCTCTCGACCCCTGTTGGGTGTTCCATGCTACAACCTTTACAGTCTCACTCGCTGTGATATTCCTGTACATTTTCCAGTGCTGAAAAAAAGTGATGTTTTGAACCCCATGCACTTCTTTTCTAAGAGGGTTTGTTTTTGTTATGGTTTCTTCTAGATGTCTGATGCAACAACAAGATTGAAATTTAAAACCAAGATTTGTGTCAACTAATCGTAGGGCAAATGACTGCTAATATGTGCTATTTAATAATTCGTTAATTGTTCGTTAGCAATGAATTAGCCCCAAAGATGTAAACCTTGCAAAAGCGAGCAGTAGGTAATTCGAGCCAGAGACGGGGACCGGGGGGTCGGACTGCTGACGCCGTTTCCCTCGCCGGCAGATCCTGGTGAAGCTGTGCAGCTTCGTGTCGCCCGCTGAGGAACTGGCCCAGAAGGACGACCTGCAGCTGTTGTTCAGTGCCATCACCTCCTGGTGCCCGCCCCATAACCTGCCATGGAGGAAGAGCGCCGGCGAGGTGCTCATGACCATCTCACGGCACGGCCTCAGCATCAATGTGGTCAAGTACATTCATGGTACGCTTTGGGCCTCCGTCAGCTCTGGTGCTTTTTCATCCATTTATCTATCCATTCATCTGTCCTTCCTTTCATTCCTAGGAACACCTTGATATAGTACCCATGAGCAAGGTATCGCTATCGAAATACTAAAACTCCAGCTGTATATAGAGGAATAAAATTCTCATTGCTAGCTTAAGGCATATTGTACTTTCAGCATTAAAGGACAAAGCGTGCAAGCCTGCCTTATTCTGTTTATAAGCCAGTGAGAGAGCCTTCACTCGAGTGGTTCTCTGCTCTGATCTCCTCCCAGAATGTGCTTCTGGCCTTATAAAAGATCATAGGCATCACTTGTAAGGTTGGGCTCTGCCTCGTGTGTCTTTTTGGACAAAGTCGTGGAGTCACAGCTGTGTTCGACGGTCAGGCCTGAGCGGAGGTGCAGTGTGGGGCTGCCATTGAGGATGAGTGGAGTGGGTGATGTTAGAGCAAGAGGAAAGTGAAAGGGCCCAACGCTGGAGAGTTGACAGCCAAGGGCTGAGAGGCAGTGCTGGGCACTGCAGGTGAACACTGTTAGAGTCCATGTTCAGTGGCTAATTCGCAAGGAACACCTGACCAGTAGTAGGTAAGACCCACTTTGCCTCATGTAAAGGTAGACGAGTGCATTCAGAGAAACTTTCCTGCACGCCGCCGTTATACTGAGCTGCTGTTTTTGTGGCGTTCCTGTTAATTTTAATGAGCTTGGCCATTCTCCTCTGACTTCTCTCATTAACATGCCGTTTTTGTTTATTTCACCTTTGACTGTCAGTTGTTAATGCTGTACGATTTGAAAATTCCCGGAAGACTGCTATTTCTGAGATGATGGAACCACCGAGTCTGGCACCAACAATCACCCCATTCACCCTCACTTAGATCATGCTGCTTAGCCATTCTAAGGCTTAGTCCAACAGTAAATGAACCTCTTGGCCCAGTCTGTGTTCTGCATGTATTCAATTGCAGTCACATGATCTGCTGTTTGGAGGAGCAGGCTTCATTAATAGGCTCTACCTAATAGACCGGCCTTTGAGTATATAATTAGTCAGATGAATTTTCATTTTCGCCTTTGTACCATTTATTATTGTTACTTACTCTTAAAGCAGATTAGAGGCAATTTCTTGTTGAAACTGTGATGTTTGACTCTTGTCACTTGGGAGGCTGTTCTTTGCTTGAATATGTTTTTCATATTTTATGTTGAAAAGTAAAAACAGAATATTCCTGCCAGACAAATGTTAAATACTTAAAACTGCCTTGAATTGAAAAACCTCCTGCCATCTCTTCTTTTATTGGCATTGTACCATTGTTCTGCTAAATGCATCATCCGGTGAGTCTCTCTTAATCCTCCGTGTGACATGGCCGGATGCTGGCGCCTTAAACAGATGTGGTGCTGTCTCCTGCAGAGAAGGAGTGCCTGTCCTCCTGCATCCAGAACATGCAGCAGTCAGACGACCTTTCTCCTCTGGAGATTGTGGAGATGTTCGCCGGCCTCTCCTGCTTCCTGAAGGATTCCAGTGACGTCTCACAGACTCTGCTGGACGACTTCCGAATGTGCCAGGGATATACCTTCCTCTGTGACCTTATGCTCAGGTATGCGGCTTTGTGGGGGTGTTTCAGGCTGGGGGTGGGTATTTGTTAGAGTATTATACAGAGATCAGGGATTATGCCTATTAGAAATGTAGCCGCTAGCCGTAATATCAGGGGGCAGTGTGAGCAAAGTCATTAAGCCGCATTTGCTCCAGGGATTGTCTGAACCTGCCTTCTGAATTATATGTCGCTTTGGATAAAAGCGATGGATGGATGGATGGATGGATGGACGGACAGAGATGGATGGATGGATGGACGGACAGAGATGGACGGATGGATGGACGGACAGGGACGGACAGAGACATATTTTGAATAGGGAGAAAGCAAAGCACCTTCCGCTTACTCATGGTTTAGACTGCGGTCTTCTCATCTTGGTGTTGATGAAACAGTACTGGGGGCTGTGGAAGGCTTCTTGTCCAGCAAACCTGAACTGGCCATATCCTTCCAGGCTGGAGCAGGCCAAGGAGGATGACTCCAAAGACGCCCTGAAAGACCTGGTGAACTTGGTGACGTCCCTCACCACGTACGGCCTGAGCGAGCTGAGGCCAGCCGCCCTCACCACAGGCGCGCCCTTCCTCCTGCCAGGTTTCGTTGTGCCGCAGCCCTCCGGCAAAGGTTGGTCCCATGGGGTCTGGCAAGGCCTGGGTCTCAGCAGGAAGGCAGCACACTGGCACAGGGCCAGCCAGCCCGTCTCCCTGCTGCATTTGCTTGTCTGTTTCGGAGCTCAGATGGGTTCTGTCATGAGATTACATCATTACTCATTCATTTCATAGACAAGCGACATATAAATGTATGTCACTCATTTTTGGTTATCAGTATTATTTTTATGATGGTGAAACCACTCTTATCCATGTGTAATTAGTGTCAACATGGACATACCTTGAAATTCCAGGCCCCCTGACAAAATGTCATCTTGACTCCCCATCCACCAATTAAGCATATAATTTTATGTATTGAAGGGCCCCCTGTCAATTGCTGGACCAGCTGTATCTGCCAGGGTGTCCATGCCACTCCGACACCTCTGCTCCTCTGTCTGCATACATAACCACCACATACTACATGTGCTCTGCTGTTTGGAGTAGATGAGTGAGACCGTGTAATTGCTCAGTCTGCTCATGCTTGGTAGCCCCCTCCGTCCTGCCTTGTTTACGATACTGTGCTGTTCCGCATGGCAGATCTGTCTAGCCCTTAGAGGTAGACTGAAATGAAATGTGGGTTTCAGAAGTCCGCAGTGCCCGCTGCTGTTTGTTTGCCGGATTAAGGCACTGTAACGGCTTCACTTGATACGTGTCGCTGATCGTCTCCAGCATCCCTTCTTTTTTATAACTGCACCAATTTGGTGTTTGAGTATACTGAAGTAGTGAAACATTTTCTAAGAACATATTGTAATCGGTGATGTAATTGTCAAAAGTTTGTAGCAATATTGAAAGCTTTAGCCTTCCTGCTGGGCAATATAGTTATGGGTTACATAATCAATCAGATTTTTTCCCCCCGTTGTACTGAAGATTTATGGTCTTTAACAACCTAATATGGACTGAGCATTGGCGGTTTTGGCTGTAAGAGGCCTGACATAAAGGGATTGAATTACTGTTTCTCTCACATTGTACTTTTGTTGTTATTCTCACTTCTAAAATCGCAACTGAAAATGTATAGCTAAAGCACATCAGCTTAATGTTGTGTACTGCTTAATAAAAGCATATTTCTTTGTGTGCCCTACACTTACTGCCAGTGTAAACACCCTACTTGCCATTTCCCAACATTCCGAACAGTTATGCCACAAAATAGCTGTTTGATGTAGTTATTCCATTTTCTTTTAAAAAATATGTACAGACGCTCCTCTATTTACAAATGAGTTACGTTCCGAACGGCCGTTCGTAACTTGAAATGTTTGTAACTCGTTATTCAACATCATTTTAAGGGTATATGCTAGTACACCCTGCTTTTAAGGGTATATGCTAGTACACCTTGCTTTTAAGGGTATATGCTAGTACACCCTGCTTTTAAGGGTATATGCTAGTACACCCTGCTTTTAAGGGTATATGCTAGTACACCCTACTTTTAAGGGTATATGCTAGTACAAAGAATACGCACGGTACGCTGCTGTGCGGCGCGGAAAAAAAATTAATGTTGTAGACAGGAAACGGGAGCCCAACTAACACAATTTGGACTTACAATCCTCTTCGTTCGTATGTCTGAAAGTTCGTACGTAGAGGAGCGTCTGTATAAATTATTTGTGATTCTGTGTGTGAGTAGGTCATGTGTGACTCGTCCAGCACCCTCATAGGTTTGTCCCCTCACGTTATGAGGGATAGTGCTTTGAACAGGAGTTTTTGCTTCCCCAATGTATCGTATTATTGTATTGTATGTGTGCTGTATCGTACCATTGTAGGTATGAGCATTTTTGGGTCATCAGAGTGTGGTGTGGCATTCCATCTGGTTCTCGTCTCCCAGGTCACACAGTAAGGAATATCCAAGCCTTCTCGGTGCTCCAGAATGCATTCCTAAAAGCCAAAACCAGCCGCCTGACGAGCATCATCCTTGATGCTATCTCCAACATCTACATAGCCGACAACGCCAACTACTTCATCTTGGAGGCACAGCACACGCTCTCCCAGTTTGGCGAGAAGATCGCCAAGCTGCCGGAGGTGCAGGCCAAGTACTTCGAGCTGCTGGAGTTTGTGGTCTTTAGCCTGAACTACGTGCCCTGCAAGGAGCTGTTCAGCATCAGCGTTCTTCTCAAGGCCAGTGCGTCCTACCAGTGCAGCATCACCGCCATGCGCACCCTGCTCAAGCTCAGCCGCCACGACCCCATCTTCAGCGAGGTCTTCCGGGAGGTGGGCCTGCTCGAGGTGATGGTGACCCTGCTGCACAAGTATGCTGCTCTCATGAAGGACCCCACGCAGGCCTACAATGAGCAGGGTGAGGAGAATGCCTGTCCACAATGATACGCCTCTCATCCAGAGTTCTTAAGGATCGTGTGATGATATTTTGTTGCTTGGCTGTTAGCATCAGAATCCCCACCTTATTGAATTTCACCTTAATCCTATTGACATTTTGGCAGTAACATTTTTATTGACTGGACCTGAATTCTGCTTGCTAACAGAATTTCAGTGCCAATAAGCACTATTCATTTTAATCACTAATGTAGTGCTGATTCTCATTTTATAAACTTTGTCATGAACTCATTGTAATTGGAAATGTGGATCACGGCTAGGTCTGACTTTAAAATGTGAGATGGAGGCTCTACATTGACATGGCACCTGTTCAACCCCCACCACCCTTCCAGGTGAATCGAGAAACAACCGAGTGGCAGAGGATCAGAAGCAGCTGGCCTGGCTGGTGATGGAGACCCTCACCGTTCTTCTCCAGGGCTCCAACACTAATGCAGGTGCTTATCCACCCTCTGGCCACCCAACTAGAGATGCATATGAGTCTGGTGTGCCCTTGTTTGAGCCCAAGGAGGATTGGGGAGCCTCTTTGCAGTTCCTTAATTAACTTCTCTCTCATCCATCCATCCATCCATCCATCTACCTATCCATCCATCTTCCAGTAGCTTATCCAGTGCAGGGTCTATCCCAGGCTGCATAGGGCACAAGGCAGGGGAACACCCATGCATACACACGCACACACGCACACGCACACACACACGCACGCACACACACAAGCACATACGCAAAGATATCCGACACTACAGACTTTTTTGAGGAATTCTGTTGTACTTATCTTAATGCAGATCTCCTTAATTATTCGTTCTTTTGTTTTGTGCATGGTTCAGATGCCCGGTCTGATACATCTGTGCTTTTCATCCGTGACACAGAGATAATGACAAATGATAAATGGCCTGTGGGGTTGAAGGTCACGCAGACCACACCTCCTGTTTATACACTATTAATGCTGACAAATTGTCTGAGTCTGCTCAGTGTCTCTCCTTTTGTTTCTTCTTTGCCATTCTCTCTCTTGGGTTGGGGCCAAATCAGCTTGACTGCTTTTCCTTTGGGTGGTATTTGGGTGGGGGGGGGGGGGTGTGTAGGGGAGAGGCTATTCAGTTGGGATCTGGCTGACGTAGAGATTTTGTTTGTTCTGTCATTCCCAATTACCAATCTCCAACCGCTCACAACAGGATGTTGGAGAGGCCGCAAGTAAACAGACCTTTCCTGTCCGTGTCTCGCTGCGTCGTGTTAAAATTCCCAGCGAAACAGGGGTAGCGCAGGCTTCTGATGTCTGCGGATATCTGCTCCCCTTTCGAGCTGTCCTGAGGACCTAAACAGGGATGTAAATTGAGGCCTGTTACAATATTGATGAGTCAGTTTCTCCAGAAAGGGAGCTGAAGGCTTTTAGCAGACAGCTATTAAGCCATTTAAGCCACTCCTACTTCATACTTACTGTCAGCTTCTGCTATTTGGATTCATGCATGAATGCGCTGTAGAAAAACATTATTACTAGGTCTGGTGTTATTTTTGCTGACAAGTACACCTTCAGACAATTCCTTTGTTTTGTTTTAGGGTGGTGGTTGTTTAAGAGTATCAAGTAATTTATAGCATTTTTTTTAATGATTAATTGTAATGTATATTTACTTTCTAAGCAAAAAATAGGTTAAATGGTAGGTGAGCACAAGTACATTTTGCTGAAATGCTCTGCGTTTATCATAGTGATTTATGATGGATTTTTAAAAATACCTGATTCGCATTATAGGTAATGCTCTTCCCCAGTCATACCGTATCCTGCCATAAAAAACCAATTATATTTCTAAATTATATTTAGAAATGTTAAATATTTCCCATATCTGTACAGTCTGTCTCCTTGGCAGGTTCTAACTGTGCAGCTCGCTGGCCATTTCTCAAATGGTTAGATATCATCTCAAATGTCAGATTTTATTTTTTTTTGACGGGCCATCACTGACAGTCAGACCTTCCCTGACGTTCTAACACATTGCGGCCCATATCGCTCTGATTTAAATTTAAATAAGACTTTATGCGGCTCTACCTCCTGCCCTGTGTCTCCAGGAACAAGCTTCAGCTCCTCCCCGCTGGATAAGCAGTTATGGTAGAAAGATGATGATGTTATTTATTAACAACGTTTGTTTTGTTGATTTTGCTGATTAAGGATGTGTGTTCGTGCTCATTGACTTTGGAGGGAAAGTAGAAAATTTGATGGGAAACCAAAGCTTGAATCCAGGCTGACCAGCTACAGTCCTGAAGTGTGATAGGATGTTGATTTTTGCCATAGCTCAGCTTTAAATTGTTATTAAATTAGGAGAGTAGGGCCTCCTCTGGATGAGTAAGCCCCCCCCCCCCCATCTGGAGGCACATTTGCCGATCCGCAGGCTGTGGCGGGTGGGGTTGTGAGCGTCACCCCCGTGTCAAACAGGAGCCCCCCCCCCCCCATCTGGGCCGGGTTCTCTC